ATTTATATAATAAAATATTATATAATTTTTATATTTTAAAAATTTGTAACTTAATCTATAAACTAATTTTTTTTAATTTAATTGTTGAAACATTAAAATTTAATATAAAATATAAATTATTAAGTAAATCTAATAAAACTTACTTTTAAGTAATATCTTTTAATTTAATTATTAAATAATTAAAATTTATTATAGAGCATGAATTATTAAATAAAGTAAGTACATCTCTCCCTTTATATATAACCATTATTCATTAGGGTTTTTTGTTCTCTTGGTGATCATATATATTCTACAATAAATATTTTACAGAACCGAGTAGTAGAGTATATTCAAACTATATCTGCCACGTGATTGTTCTAGGGCAACAAGTTAATAATTTTTTAGAAATTTACAATGAATCATCTTAGAATCCTTCATGTTCGCAATACTATCTGTACCTGCCTGAGGGTACACTCGTAATCTTCAGGAGAATGGAAGGTTAGGCAAGGAAGAAACTAGGCTAGATTTGGTGCAATTTTGGAAAATAATGGTGATCAAAGGGAAAATGGGCTGGACGAGTTATAGGGTAAGGCATATTTGGTGCAAACTCGGTGATGGATGAAAAATGAAGAGAAAACCCACCAAAAATTAGCTCAAAAGAGCATAAACCGTCCCTCGGGTGGGTCAAGATGGCTAAAATCTGGCTAAACGAAGGCTGGATAGGCCAAAATATGGGTTAGAATGATGATAGAACGAATCTGGAGTTTTTCGAAAATTTTCAAAAAAATCGGCCGAAGTCGGTCGAATTTTCGGTTTGATTGTTGAAAAATTTTGATTCAAAATTTGCCACGGGAGAACACAACGCAGGCTTAGAAATGCCCACGCAGTGTGAGGGAAAGGCCCCGTGGCTCGCCCAGACCAGCCAAGGTGCGCTGGGTTTCTGCTGAGACACACCCTCCCCCTATAATAGGCTAATATGCAAAAGTGAATTTTGTACAAGTAGATACCCTTTTTCTGAGCAG